ATGTAATGTCAAATCAATGTAATAAACAGTAATTAATATATCATGTATTGATAAGCTATGAACTTTAACCTAAAGATTCAAACTTCATGTGAAGGAAACAAAACAAAATAGTCACGAATGTTATGTAATTACATTAAGAATGAGAAAACCCACATTGTACCTAGATTATTTACATTAAATTTTATATTTGGTGTTGTTAAATTCTTGAGCTCATTAAAACAATATAATTTTTAACAAATTAAAATAAAAACTAATAAACTTAATGAAGATTATAGCAATGTGTTAATGTGAAGACATTTGTTAGACAATAATTGTTGTCATTTTATAATTTTACAAGATTTTAGTCAATCTATTGAATTGATTTCAGAGTTAAAAATAATTTTGACTAAAATAACTGTAAAATGTTTAGTGTATTAAATAAAATAAACATAAAATAGAGCAAATTTCACAATTTCTGAAAATGATTGCCAAAATGATGGCTGAGAAAAGTGATTAAAGTTATTCTGAATTAAATAAAAATATAATATTCATAACATATCTGGAATTATAATGAATAAAAACTTGAAGATTTTGCGCCCAATTTGATTGCAAGTAAATTAAAACTAATATTTTAAAAGAATATTCTAAGTGTTAAACAAATAAAGTAAATGAAATAAATGCAATAACTGTACGAAATACATGTGCACAGAAATGCATGAAATGGCAAATTGAAAGAATTTATTTAAATAAACCAAATCTTTATTAAGCAAATGCTTATATCAATAATTGCAGTATAAATATAACTATGTTTGGGATATAAATGTGTTTATTCCTTAATACTTGTGCAATGATTGTAAGTGTAAAGTACAGTAAAGTATTGTTGAAAAACTAATATATTGTTCATATCTTAGCGATACATAAGATTTGCAATTTAATACAATGGTATTTGTGATTCAATTTAGGGTATTTCAAAATTTAACTAAATCTATTGGTGATAATAGTGTAATTGTATTGATATATACACTGGTATATCACTAAACATTGATAACTAAAGCGAATAATTGAATGAAAACTACAGTAGTGTTGTAAAAACAATAAGGAAAGCCTACCAAGAATTGTATGTTTACATTAGTGATGGCCAGACAGACACACATCTGTACTCATGGCATGCCATCCCCTCTCAATAGTTCCTTAAATATAGCAACAAAAGCATGAAATTTGGTGCAAATATTTAATTACAGAAATAGGCAAGCTAACTTTTACATATAATTAAACTATGCTCTTGACAATTGAATTTAGATAAGGGCTAAGATTTCTATGAATATAAATTAAGTTTCCTTAAAAATATTTCATAAATTGACTGAAATTATAATTTCATTTGAAATCTCAAGATATGGTATGACATGAGTGCAGAACTAATTGATTTTAAATTCATATTAACGATACAATGAGTTTATTAATAAACATTAATACAAATCAAAACTAATGATTAATTTAAATAAACCTCAATGTTTGACAAATCTCTGTTTTATATTAAACTCATTAAATGAAATAAATTGATAGAAACTCATAATATTTGAAACATAAAAAAGTCATTCAATGTTTTGTTGTTTTTATTATTTTCAAAAAGTTGTGGGCTTTAAGAACTTTGGTTGAGATTTGATTATAAAATAAAAATAATTAAGTAATCAATCTTTGAATGGATTTGGCGTTCATTGTGACCATTGAATCGTCAAAACTATCGCATATACTGTAAGACGTCTCCAATTGTGAACATTTAGCAAACAATAGAAGTATAGAAAAGCAGATAATATATAATATACGGTATATTCATATTCAGAGAACTGGTCTCTGGTCTGACGGTTCACTAGCACTGTATGTATGGCTATAGCTGTTGACTGCAAGTGTAGTCTGACATAAGATAAGCCATTTATTGAGCGTTTTTGGCATTTCTCTCCTCACACTCGCATTCTTTGCTGAATAGCACTCAAACTGAGACCAAATCTCACATAACTTACACTATTTTTGACTCACAAATAATAGCCAAACAGTATTTGGTGTAAAACTTATAATAAATAACATACGAAACTATTTTTAAGTACGAGTGGTCAACAAGCTAGGTCGAATAGTAAATGTATTTTAAGTCAAATTGCATTCTCAATGGTGTCTCAAAACTTTGTTATTATTCAGTGATCTCTAATACATGTCTTTAATCACGTATTTTACAAATATATATAACTCTATACCGGCACTCATGCCGTAATTAAGACTTCTACATATGATATGATTTATTATCATAAGTCTAACGTATTGTAAGTTTTGTTTATGAAATAAAAGGCAAATATTTATTAGAAGAGAATTTAAAGAAATTTTACAAACAAAATGTCAGATAAAGTAAATCGTGAGTCAAATTAATCCACAAATAGATTCAAATGAATTGCATTCACAGAATAACTGCAAGACATGTGTAGTTATAGCTGAGTCTTACTACCAGTGCTTACACTATGTCGAGCCATATGTGAGACACAAATTAGTGATTCCGAAGATTCGCTACTATTTCGAGAGAGAGAGAGAGAGAGAGGGCTTAAGAGCTGCGATACTAATACACTTCTATCGCTTATCAACGACTCGTTTCTTGGGCTGAAGTTGCCTTAGAGACGGTTTTCCAAAATAAACAGTCGACTTTATAACAAATAGTGAAGTATTGGTTGCGAAGGAAGTGAACACCAAAATACACGACAGAGAGAGAGAGAGAGAGAGAGAGAGAGAGAGACTGTAGAGCACAGCAATTGATGTGTGTTTTGGTCACAGGTCTGTCTGACTGTCTGTTTGTCTTTCGAAAACCCTGTGCTCTGAAGACAGACTAATGGATATCCAAGACGTGTATATTGTGAGCAATACATTGAATGGATTGGAGTTTAATGTGTTTTGCGAATGTTGTGTATGTTCTCAATGTTGTGATAGTTGGCAGGAACGGGAACGGGAGGGCCCGACTGTTTATTTTGGAAAACCGTCTCTAAGGCAACTTCAGCCCAAGAAACGAGTCGTTGATAAGCGATAGAAGTGTATTAGTATCGCAGCTCTTAAGCCCTCTCTCTCTCCCTCCCTCTCTCTCTCTCCCTCTCTCTCTCTCTCTCTCTCTCTCTCTGTCGTGTATTTTGGTGTTCACTTCCTTCGCAACCAATACTTCACTATTTGTTATAAACTTTAATCTTTTTATCANTTTAATCTTTTTATCAAATTTAATATAATATACAGTAAATAATATAATAATAAATACAATTCATATGTAATACTATATAAGAAACAAGTCTTTCACTGTTTAATAGTGCGATCGCACGCGATATTACATTGCATTCAATGAATCATTAAATATGTGATAAATTTTTGTAAAAATTAATTCTTAAAAATAAATCAAAATATCAGGTATTGATGACAAAGTGATTCATGAAATGCTTAGAATTGTATTACAAATTGTATTCATTACATAAATACAACACTTTGTCGATAAAAAGTCACAATTATTGCAGTATTGCAGTAAAAGCACACAATTTACTAATCAAATAAAATTCTGTATTTAACATTATACACATTATTGAGTATGATTCAGTTATAGCTAATAATATAATCACAAAAATAATATTTCCAATTAACAACAAAAATTATTGAATTATAATGAATGAGACAAAACTTTTGCAGAATTGTAAACTATAGTAAACTATTGTAAATAGTAGCTTAAAATAGTTTGGGCAAATAATCAAGCACAGTCTGTTATATAAGTAATGGTGTGATTGCAAAACACCCCACGCTATCAGACAATTTGACAATTATTTGAACCGACACTACAGTAAAGCACTGAAATTGCCATTAGTTTTGTTGTACGAAACGATTGATTTGTAATGAACTTTGTCTCTGTCTGTCCGTTGGAGTGAATGTCGAAAATAATCTCTAATTAATTGTTTTGTCTGTTCAGTGCTTTCACTCTTTCCATAACATTAACATTAATAACTGATTATTTCATTTCATTTACAAACAATCGTTGGATTCGTAAATAAAAATTTTTGCACTTAAAAGTAAATACGAGTAGTGAATGAAAGTGCGAGAAAATAAGACAATTGAATTAAAACAAAATATTTAAACTGTTTAACACATAATAGAAAGCGATTGGTATGGGAAAGAGAAAGGCATATGAATGGGAAAGTAAGTGAAAAGAAAACAAATTTCATAAAAAAGCAATTCTTATAATAATTGTGTGAATGTATTGAATGTATGAGCGTTTGTGTTGATTATAAGCGGGTTTAATAGATATGTGTTTCCTTTGCAATGGTTTTGTCGATATCCTCTGCACCAAACTTTCAAACACTGATTGTCAGCAAAAACAACACTTTTATGGCATTTGAGCGCTGAATGCAATGAATGCAAAAGATGTCAAACATTGCATTCATTGGCATATCATTTGAATACAAGTGATATGATTGCGACCATTGGGTCGGAGAGTGTGACCAGAGGTATGGTAGGAATGGTAGGTGCGATGGGAATGGTATGAATGGTAAACAAAGGGTGACAATACCTGCTGCCACTTGTCTTCGAGGGACAGTTGTGCGGACAGATATCCCGTTTCGTGGATCACCTGAAGTTCTTTGAAGATGTGTCCACTCGGAAGCACATCCATGTCTTACGGGTTAACACCAGTTGACAAACAAATGATGACAACTGAGCAGACAATGAGTTGAAGCAATGGTTCCAATGGTTCCGCAGGATGTGATGGTTGCGATGGTTGGATGCGTTAAGTGTTAGTCATTGCAGTGAATGTCTTCATGTCTTCATGTCTTGGGCGCCGAACAGGTCTTCATTGGTTTGACAATAGTTTTCAATCACTTATCACTTGATTTGAGTTCAAAACTGATTTAGGATTTCATACAAACAGAAAGAGGCTGTACTTCAGTACCAGTGCTACCAGTGCTCAGTGTCTGCACAGACTCTACACAACTCTCACTACCAGTGCTGTACTACCAGTGCTGTCACTGCAGAGACTCCGGTGTCAGTAGTGTCTGAGCCCTGAGTTCTTCAACTGACAAATTCAAGAGATGGCGAACACAGGCATCGCATTGGCCTTCACTAACACTACATCCCTTCCCACCCCTACCTACCAGTCCTCCACACACACACTCGCACACACACTCATGCATTACTCACCGCCAATGCATTGCTCACGAGCGTACCTCACCGTCAATACTCCCGGCGCCCTCTCAACCACTGCAACCAAAACAATGTCTTTGTATGCAAATGAATGTCCCCAATAAAGGGGGTTAGGAGGCATAGACAGCACCGGGAGGGTCTCTACAGTCTCATATTAGAATCGGGTTTAATGATCTACCTTGATCACAATTCATACTAAATTGTCATCAAAAGTTTTGCCACACGCGTTGTGCACACAATGCCTGCATTGAGTGTAGTTTATGTAAGACACCGACATATGAGAGCTGTTTGGCAGCATAGGTCCTATGGTGTAATGGTCAGCACTCTGGACTTTGAATCCAGCGATCCGAGTTCGAGTCTCGGTAGGACCTCTTTTTTTTTGTTTTTTTTTCAGTCAAATTAACTTTTTTTTTTCGTAAAATTTTATTATAAATAAAAACGTTTTGTGCACATAATAAAACAAATAATGCATTTATGTTTTATATTCATAGAAATTACAAGAGATTGTGATTTATAATATCAATAACATAAAATTATAACAATGTTCATAATACAGTAATAATGATTCAATAAATAAAATCAATAAATAAAACGGTAATACCCTGTTTGTGATGAATATGATTACAATAAAAAAGCTTTAAATATGATATAAATTTGTTACAATATTATGTAAAGTGTAAAGAAATTTTTGGTCCACTTTATAAGCACTAAAAAACGCTAACTTTTGACTAAATTCACAATATTTGACTAAACGTTTATAAAATGTATGATTAGTGCAGTATTTGTTCTTATAATCACTATTTGATTCACACTTTTATGCATTTAAACATTAATTACATAATTATTTCAATGAGTTATCAAAACGAAAGGTTTAGACGAGTCCTTAAGAATCAATTGTGAATCCAAGTATTTGTTCTTATAATCACTATTTGATTCACACTTTTATGCATTTAAACATTAATTACATAATTATTTCAATGAGTTATCAAAACGAAAGGTTTAGACGAGTCCTTAAGAATCAATTGTGAATCCATTGAACATACCGTCCGTATACAGTATACGGCGTGTAGTATAGTATACCTTTGTATTTGGCATATCTGTCAGTAATTTCGGGTCAGTTACTAATAAATACAAATTGAGTTAATGTTAGCTCAACACTCGTTACACACAAATCTTGACTAAAGAAAAAATCACTCTTTTTGTGTCGGTTTTACAAATTCATTGAAAATTAAACACAAATATCGATACAATTGGCAGTCATAGAGACCGTCGAGTGTTAGACATGAGAGAGAGGTATCTGTTTGCTATGCGAGACGTGACTGCCGGTCATACTAGTCATGTGTTTGTGTTTGGGATGCCGTGAGTTTGAGATCGCCAGTTGTGAGCCCCCAATGAGCTGACTGTTGGCGCTCCGGGTGCTGCCAGAGCTGCCACAGCAGAGGCGGCCGTAGAATCGGCCCCACGAGTCGATGGTCTTCGTGGACCAGATCCAGAAACCAGATGTGATGCCAACAATCAAACACATGATATATTTGAGCAAAAATAGCGAATAGTATGGCGTCTCGAGTGTGTGATCGCAGCGGCAGTTGTGCTGCCGTTGCCATACATCACGAAAGTAGTACTCATAGAGATAACAGCCGACGACGACAACTCCGGGCACTATATATAAGAAGGAGAATAAGCCGATCCTAATCATGAGTTTCTCGAGTTTGTCGGCTTTCACTCTCTCTTTCAAAAGCTTTCGGATTCTAAAGAGTGATACGAATCCCGTCATTAAGAAGAAGAGACCGACTAACTACATGCACGTCTTGCCCTAATACTGTTTACAGTAGTTTAATAAGTCTAGGACTAAGGGGTGTTTTGTGTGCGGACATTTCCCCAGCGGTAGCTATCGTGGCTACGGATTCTAATAGTGACTAAAGATGGTTGGGATAAACCACGCGAACAAATGGAAGTATTGGGAATACCCGGCAATGCCTTCGTTAGACCACTTGAGTCCGGCCGACAGAAACCAAGTGATCGTTAGGATAACCCACCAAACGCTGGACGCCATCCCAAAGAAGTAAATCAGCAGAAATACAACCACACAGACTACCGGTGCCGGACCTGTTCGCTGGTATCTGATGAGCGGACCGTCGCAGGCGATCGGGTCGTGTCCTATGTATGACCTCATTATGTAACCAATCGATACCATTAGGTAACAGCCGGAGAGGAATATAATGGAGCGCTCGGGGTATCGGAAGCGCTCCATATCGATGACAAACGTCAGTACTGTTACACTCGTGCAGACACAGCACACGACCGCAAAGATACCGATCCAGAAGACCGCCATATCTTTCTCAGCTTTCGAGAAGAACACTCCTTTGCAGGGCACCAGACAGTTGGCGACCCCTCCCGTCTCCACTCGGTTGTTGAAGCGCCTGTCCAAGTCCTGCGCCAAAATCAATGGGTGTCTGCACTCGCACTTACAGTCGCTAGGAGTTAGGCCGCCGTTCGAATGTGTCGGTGACCCCGAAGTACCGGCTCTGGAGATATGATCGCCCCGACCCTTATTGATAGGCTTCCTATTGGTTGGTCGCGTCGTCTTGTCTTTGGCTGAATTGGCATTCAATGCAATCGATTCGTCTTTATTAGAGGGCGTAATGGGTTTGGAAGAGAGGGTCTGTTCCATGCGATTGTCTGTTAGAGTCGCGCCTTTGGATTAATGGTTCAATCGTTTGTAACAATTATCTCACAATCGTATCAATACATGCAGTGAATGCTGTGTAAGCATACCTTCTTTGGAGTCCATACAAAGAAACTGCTTATCGCCATAAACAGGCAAATCATTGCAATCCATGCGCTCAGGCCATGCAAACCCGTAGTGTCTCATAATGGGAGCGCATCCGTGTTTCTAAAACACCATAAATGTGTGAATTAGTTCATTAAGAAAACACATTTGGCTGTGACTTACGGCCCGCTCGCAGACGGAGCGACAGGCGGGTAGTCTTCCCTGATAGTCATCCATACAAATGGGGGCATACATTGAGCACAGGAAGAAACGCAAGTCCTCTGAACACTGAATCTCAACCAATGGCCAGAATTGATGAACTGAAAGCGGTTTAAACTTATATTTAACACATAATACAGAATATTCATTCGTATGATACAAAGCTTTTATATTATATTATAATTTCGTTTTTTAAAACAATTTCAATTTTGTTAATAGTTTTGAAAAGTAATTCAACATATAGTACAGTAATAGTATAAAAAGTATAAAAAAGAATATTCTGTGCAAACGATTAATCTAAAAATATTCGCAAACACTGTGTAAGTTAGTGGAGAATTTTATGGCAGATTAATCAATAGTGAACAAAACAACAATGTTTAACTAACTAACAATGTTACCAGTTTTAATCAAAATTACTAATACACGCAAAACTATTCAAACTAGAGAAAGTTCAGGTTTTTAAAAATAAATTGCCAAAATTTGTTTTTGTTTTAAGACACTACAGACTACAGGCTAACATTGTGTGATTCAAAGTAACACTAAATCAATTTGATATTAAATATTATACATTTGAATATTATCTATAATTTTCTACATTGAATGCATTGGAAATTTATTTGAATCAAATACTCTAATCGACTAAATGGGCAAATATTGAGCCCAAAATGTGTGACTATAAAAGTAGTGCATTTGTATGAATACTAAAGAAACTCAGCGGGGATTATATGAGGTCTTGAGTGGTTGAGGGCTCTCGCAATTCATGACATAATTGTTTGGCTAAAAGCCTATGAAAGCGAATTCAATGAAAAACAGTACTCTATCTTCAATCACACAATTCTATGGCTTTGTTGGGCATAAAAGCAAATCTGTGTCCACTCTATCAGGTGTTGGCCCACAATATAGTCTGCGAACACGCCATTAGATTACAACGAGATTTGATTTTATGCATAACTGTTAGTCTAGTCTTTGGTTTATTGTAATTTTCGGCGTCACATAAAAACGGTGACAAATTAAAGCAATAAACTGTTAGACAAACAAATGGACGTCAATTTGAATTGAAAAGTGATTAGAGAGTAATGATGTGATCGAAAGCGAATGCAATTCATCTTTAAGTGCTCATAAAAATCGTTAAAAACTATTATATTGTACTCTATTAGAGTTGGTCACGACATTACTGGTACTGTTCCTCACGCCTGACTCTATGGCTAACACTAACTCTTAAGACTTACAGCACATTACAGAATATGACTGCACCGGCACTACACTAACCGTAATGTAAAACATACTCTAAACGTAACCTCTACTCAAAAAAGTGTTTTCTAACCGTTAAGAGCGTAGACCTATAGGCTATACATACATACAATGTGTCAGAATCTGAGACAAGAAGTGCTAAAAATATTTTTTAACTAATAATTGAAGCCAAGAAACTGTCGAATGATTTATATATGAACAATATTTAGCAGGGGAATATTGTTTACCAAACTTTTTAGGCTTCCCTTCACCACTAACTGCTCGTTATTAGTCTAGTGTTTCTCTCCCTCTCTGTCTGTCTGTCTCTCCATTTGGTTCACACCTCCTGTACTATACCTCAAGCCCTCATCCATCACTGTTTGGCCATTCAGTACTGCATCCCTACATCTCATCAAATATCCCCTCAACTGTTATTCATCTCTCTCTCTCTCTCTCTCTCTCTCTCATTCACTCTCTCTCTCACTCACTCACTCACTCACTCACTCACTCTCTCTCTCTCTCACTCACTCTCTCTCGACAGTTGATTCATTGATACAGTTATAGTTATTCCTTACATTAATTGACAGTATTATAGATATAATGCTATTTGGATACTCCGGTAACAGTAAAAAGAGACAAATAGATGCCAATAAGATGTATGCATACCTTCAAGACCTGCTTCCTCCTGAGTGTCGTGATGGAACTGATTGGGCATAACTGTATAGTTGTATCCAATGCCCCGACACATAGGAATACTGATCTCTTCGCACCTCTGCTTATCACTGGATACATGACCCGTCCATAAGATAATCCAAAATAAAATCATCACCAATTGGTTTGACTTCTTATAAATTGAGTTCATATCACAAGACATGTCCACAACTGGCAGACAATCCAACCGTTTGTTCGCTTTGGCCATCGTTTTGCACTTCTATTAACCAATTATTACATTTGATTCACTTCTTGTACGACATAATCAAACGGATCCGTTTTGACCACAACTCACACAAACCATCGATTCATAGATTCTTGTCTTCAGAGTTGTCTCAATCACGCAAACCATTCACTGATATATGATATGAGGATATCATTGTGAATGAAGATGGTATCGACTCAGCGGTTATCAGTGATAAGAGTTGAATGTCTTATCCATGAGTGGTGTTCACAGTGATCACCTCTTGTAACCACTGAATCCAGTGAATCCAGGGTTGGTTCCCATTGACTGACTGTTGGCTCACTTGCACTCAATGTATGGCACAGTGTATGCACTCTCTATGGCATAGAGTGTATGTACTGTCAGATCAATACCACTGGAGTATTGATTCAAACGAATCGATCGAAAGCACACAAACACTGAATGACAGCAAACACTACAAACACTGCCATCTCTCGCATTAGGCATACATTTCACTGCTTTTGTCAAATCGTTTCAATTGTTTTCAACTTTTTCTCATTATTTGTATAACTTTTTGATAACTTTTTGATAACTTTTTTCATTTCAATAATTCATTGAATTGTATATGAATTTCAATGTTTCGCTCATTTCATTGAATGATGAATAGTTGGTAACTAAGTTTCTCGCGAAGGTTTTCTTCACATGTAAACTAGGTTACCACTCGGCTTGGTATCGGTACTTATTGGTATTATACAGCCTGTTCAACAGTCCTCAAGGCGCTGAACTCGAAGATTTGCATAAATTGTCTGAAGATAGGGAGACCTCAGACCTGGTGTTTCTGGTGGCCCGCGAAGAGGTTCCCATCTATGGACACAAAATCATATTCAGAGCCCGGTTTGTCTTTCATTCATATGATTGTCATGTGATCACAATTGACTCGTGAGTGATATTCGTGTGGATCTATTTGGGTGACAGATGTGAGAGTTTCCAAAATGTCAAGAGACAGGAGGTGTGCAAAGTTCCCGGCACTACAGTCTCACCCGCACCCCATCCCACACCACATCCCACACCACATCCATACATGAACACCAATCCTAATGCCAGGTCTGATATGACTAATGATTATTGGCTCACATATTAAGATAATGGTTCATATGATGACAGTATTATCCGATGGCCACAAGCGAATGCTGAAGTATTACGGGAAGTGGTTCTCTATGTCTATACCGGAAAAGTATTCACTTTTTTATTCACATCAACAGCTTATTAACTAAACTCTACTGCATTAGTCGTATCATTGAAATGTCTATTGAAATGTACCCTATATTCAGATTGTATTACAAGATAATAATGTCTTCGAGACGCTGGCCATCGCTGGACTCAATCCATAGCTACTCAACCAGGTCAGCACGCTTCTCGTGTAGTTCTTATGGTATAGTCACGTGTTGCGGACGTGAAAGGACAGGTGCCGATAGTTTGAGCTCGGTGCCTAAAGTCCAAACAACATGTCGTTTGTGATTGTTATCAATAATGTTAATCATATTACCATTAATTATATTGTTAATTATATTGGTAATTGTGTGCATAGAAAGCAAAAGTGGTTTTGTGGACATTTGCACCACTTTTGTTGGCGAGAATGCCGTCGAATGCATTAAAACGTGAGATTTCTAACATTTCAATCATATATTCATTTAATTTGTGTAAACTTTTAAATAAGCGGTGATTTCCGGTCGTAAAGACTTAGATAGGTTTCTCCGAAACTAAGTAAACTAAAGTAGCCTGAAACATTTATACTTATCGTAAACGAAACTTAAGTTAAGAAAGAAAATATTCAATTATAGTTAGCCTTAGATGAAGCCGACGTTTTTAGGGCTGCACTCAATTGGGCTAAACATAAGGCCGGTTAGTATGAAATATATGATTGCATGTATGGCACAGGGATCACATGTATGACACAGGGATCACATGTACCGTATTGTTTCATTACAGGAGTCTTACAGCCAACTCATCACTGGACAGAGGAGGAGAGGGCCCGCATATGTCAGGTCAGTGTCTTGAATGCCATTCATGTGTTTAATGCTATTCTCTTTGCAATGCTTTATGTAATTTGTTTTGTTTTGTTTGACAGCAATTGTCTGGAGTTATAAATCACATCCGAATTCTTCTCATTGATAGCCAAGTGTTTGCCGAAGAAGTGGAGCCGACGGGAGCCGTTCCCATGGAGTTATCACTGGAGAGATACCGTTTCGCAGCCCTTCCCTCGAAATTCCAGAACTCGGAGGACAAGAGGGTACAGCCGCGCACATCACTGAAGCTGTTCCAGGGCTCACAACTGCTGAGTGGAGACAAATGCCAATTCCAGACAATACTCAACTCGTGGTATGGATTACCGAAACAAATGTGGAAATTAATATTCCGGGCGTCGACTCACGGCTTCTCGGCCGACGCCTTTCACCAGTACTGCGACGGCCAGTCGCCCACATTTGTGGTCATCCAGGGCTCCAACGGGCACTTATGCGGCGGATTCAGTGACGTGGCCTGGGCTAAGACCACCGCCAATCGGGGCCGGTATGTGGCCTCAGACAACGCATTCCTCTTCACGTTAATCAACAGCTCAGACATTCCTCCGACCAAATACGATGTCGTCAAGAAGATGTTCGCCATCGCCCACCACTCCGACTACGGGCCGGTGTTTGGCGCGGGCGCCGACCTCTCCATCGCCAACCACTGCAACGCTAACTCCGACTCCTATTCAAACCTTCCGCACACTTATGATGGACACAACGCCTCCAACACTGTCTTAATGGGTGACTACAACTTCTCGCCCATCGATTACGAAGTCTTCACTCTCTGCCACTGAATCTCGCGATCATTAAATTGATTTGTTTTTTGTATTCAAATAATAATTTTTCACATTTTGGACACAATTTTCAATTTCTTATCATTAGTCCATTGGGTGACAGCTTTGAGTGATCATTATTTGTATGACATGTCGTAAGTTAAGGGTTAGTCACCACTCGTGCCATTGCTTTGTGTGTAGTGATGACTCATTGATGAGCTACCTCACCGACAGTAGCATGGTCATATCCGATCATTAGTATCAAAAGTAGCACGCTCATTTGCTGCTAATAGCCAGCAGTGGCCTAAAATAGTGTCAATGCATTGACTGTCAGTTTTGTCATTTAAAATGTAGTGATTTGTAAACATATGACGACATCTGATTGGCTGTCATGCAGTCCGTATCCGTTCACATACACAAGCCAGCAGTGGCCTAAAATAGTGTCAATGCATTGACTGTCAGTTTTGTCATTTAAAATGTAGTGATTTGTAAACATATGACGACATCTGATTGGCTGTCATGCAGTCCGTGTCCGTTCACATACACAGTGACACCGCATGTGAGGGGAGGCTTTGGCACACTTTCTGATGATACAAACGAAATAACATTTATGACTCAACAGTGTTTGGGGAGTGAGTATTGAATGGCTGTGTCATAGCATATGTGTGTTTGTGAGCCGATTGTCCGCATTATAGCCATCAGAGGGATGATTGACTGCAAGACGTGTCAGACATTCAATGATTACTGAATTGAATGTGAATTACAATCAATTGATTTGATTTACAATTGAATACTCGTTTACAAAACACATGTTTCACTGAACATGAAGTCATTACTGTTATAAGTTGTATCCAAATGTGATAATTAGGTGTAACTGTAATCACAATACTATTGACACAAATGAATCAAAGTTTACAATTAAAGCTCAAGAATTGAATCGATGGCTATAAATAGGATCAGTTGTTGACTAGTGTTCACTCATTAACACCAATGTCTTCATTACTCCACAAGAACTGGTCGACGACTGGATCCAAAACAAGTAAATGAAGTGTTTTTGTCATAAATGCGAGCAAATGATTGACTGATTGTGTGTTTGACTGAAGGGAAGGACGGATGCGAACAGAAGTCGGACTCAAAGTTTGAAAAGTTTAGGAAAAGACTGAGTCTAAGACTCGACCGCTTCTGTAAGTGGTAGACATACCTTCAATACCATTATATAACCACTGATTGTCTCGTTATTGTCACCAATAATAGCTCTCTCGAGAGACGAATTGCCAGAATTGGATAACGAGAACGGGGTATGACTTGACATGAATTAAGTGATTGATTGTCTCATTAATTAATTGATGGTCTGTTTGTTTGTGAAGAATGTGGAGATCACAAGAATCTCAATGAATGGCAATTATTTATCCAATGACACCATCATTACATCCAACACTCCATCAAATCCATTACCTATTGATAACCAATCAAATGGTATTGAATTGAATGTTGTATTCAGTGAACTGACTATAAAATGAATTGTTTGTGATTTGACAGCAAAGCTATCGACAGTTAACGAGAATGAAAGCGCAGACCAGAGTCCACCCAAACCCCCTCCGCGTACAACAAGCAAACATGTGATCCCTCCGCGCAAACCATGTGATCCTCAATCCGACCAAAACTTATCACAAAATATAGTCGAAAGTGATGTGAATGTGAAGACAAACACAGAGACTAATAAAGAGGAGAGAATGAGTTCCACCCGCGAGTCCACCCAAACAAAAGGTCTCAGTTTCATGAGAAAGCAATTTTCAAAAGTCAAAAGTCGTCCCAAATCTGATATTTTTGTCACAAATAATTCAATTGGTTTTCCGATCCCCATCGCTAAGTCCACCCGATATTCTACTATCGATTTCTCTGTAAGTCTTATTCATTATTTAGATTATATTACAAACAATTAATAATACGGTAAATGATGTTATGATATGTTGTTTCAGACAAATAGTTTTTCCTTCGGAAAAATGGAATCGTATGTCAAGTTAGACCAGTTGGGAGAGGGCTCGTATGCCACGGTCTATAAGGGCTACAGCAAGTATGCCATTCCTCACCACTATGTCATTTACTGTACGGTACTAACTGTGCGTATGATTTAAGTCTAACCAATAGAGTGGTGGCACTGAAGGAAATTCGACTTCAAGTAGAAGAGGGAACTCCGTTCACAGCCATCAGAGAAGCGTCACTTCTTCGGGGTCTGAAACACGCGAATATCGTAACTCTTCACGACATCATTCATACGAAAGATTCGCTCACTTTTGTCTTCGAGTACGTGGACACGGATTTGAGTCAATACCTGGAGAGACATTCTGGTGGACTCAACCATAAGAATGTGAAATTGTTTTTGTTTCAACTGTTCCGTGGGTTGTCTTACTGTCATGAGAGGCATATATTGCACAGAGATTTGAAGCCACAGAACCTTCTGATCAGTGAAATAGGAGAACTCAAACTCGCAGACTTCGGTCCGTTCCATGCTCTCAATGGTGCTGTTATTGTCATCTTATTATACATTTGTTTATAACCGTAGGTCTGGCCAGAGCTAAGAGTATACCTTCGCATACATACAGTCACGAAGTGGTAACGCTATGGTATAGGCCGCCGGATGTGTTGTTGGGTTCTCGCAATTACTCCACTTCTCTCGACATTTGGTATAAATATATTTGCAATTATTATAACTGCAATACTAATTGTATTGTCATATAGGGGTGTGGGCTGTATATTCTTGGAGATGGTTTGTGGTGCTCCAGCCTTCCCAGGAGTTAGGGATCCAATGGATCAGTTGGATAAGATTTGGCGCATTTTGGGAACGCCATCCAATCAGTATTGGGAAGCCTTTGATTCGCTTCCAACTTATAAAAAAGGTTTTTATCACTTAAATGAAAGATATTTTTTTATGATTATGTGTCTCTTTGTTGCAATGCATGTAATCTCAGGACAATTAGTTACATATCGAGCTCAGCCGTTATCACAGGCTTTCCCTAAGCTCTCATCAATAGCTTATGGCGAAGAGTTGGCCGAAATGTGCCTTAAATTGATGCCTAGACTTAGAATATCAGCAAAGGATGCGCTAAAACACCGCTATTTTTGTGATTTGCCTCAACAAGTGTTTCAGTTAAATGACAGTAAGTGTTGACATATTGAAGAAGTGTTAACAATGAATGAAGTGTTAATTGTGTGTGAATTGTCTCATTACAGACGTGTCTATATTCCGAATCGCTGGTTGTCTACTGAGTTCAGAGACCAATAACTTTCCCATGAGTGTCATGAAAGCAGCCGCAAAATTACGCCGATAGTAGAGTCATGTCATTGCAATAAACACAATATCAAGTCATTTATATCAAGTTATTTATGCATTAAGTAATCCAAAGATTAGTAAAATTACAAATCGTATGATATATTGTATTAAAACTACAGAATATGTTTGGCATTTCGAGTCTAATTGTTAGACACGAATCCTTAAACGTATATCTTTTGCTATCAAAGCATTTGTTTACAGTTAGGGCTAACTGTAAGTTAGAGTAATTGACTATAAGACAGATGTACCGGTTTATGATATTTAAATCTCAAATGCATTCCATTAATAATTTATTGACATTTTTACCCTAAATGTGATTACAATTAATTTATACTCATTTTATTGTTTATGAATTTTGTTTTTTAATTGTCTTATTTTACGCAACGTTTGTACGTTTTACTGTATTTCTAAATGTTTAATATTTTTTATTTATCTCTATTTATATCAAATTATTGATTAAATTAAACAATTCTAATCAATCGATGATCAGAATTGTCTCAACTATTGTGCAATCAATCAATCAATTATCGATCAGTTGATCAATAAAATGCATTTATATGACACATATATTAATAAAATGTTGATTCCAGTCAAATGAATCCATGTCTATTCATTTATTGTAAATATATAATTCACTATTTATATACAGCACATAACCATGCTCATTATTCCTGGTACACTAATTAAATTCTTGAAACTTATTCTGTGTTACAGAATCTGTGGTCACGTGAATTCAATATGAATTACGCTTATATGAGACACGAGAGGGCATAACCCTCTCTGTTATCGATTAATGAAAAGCATAAAAACGAAAATAATATTCAGTGGCCATAAAAGATGTGACATTTGAAGTGATCGTAAATTAGGTGATACTGTGTATTGAGTGGTCGTATAATTAATGACAACGAGACACATATTAATCATAAGACATGTAATCAAGTGTGTGTGTGAAAAGTGATGCAAATGTGAGCAAATGGCTAAACAGGTGTTGTGTGTGTGGTGTATGTTAGGGACGTATATAATGGTTGTGTTTGACTGGAAATCAGGTGATCTGACGATTGACTCAACACTACATTGTATTCATTGGATTGTATTGACGCACAACTGACTGACTGTGAGGTACAGTATTGAGTGAATGAGTGAACACAACAACACTATTATAGTTACGGAATATTAATGTATCGATGAATGCATTGAATTACTGTTCAAATCAGTGGCAATGAGTGCTTATTGTGATCAGTGATCATGTAATGCATGTGATTGTGGTGTACATCGAGGCTCACGATTAACAGGCATTAGTGTCGTCATTATCATCAGAGTGTGACACTTGTGACCATTGTTTACCAGACACAGCCATTGTGGTCAACACACAGACACTCAGGTATTGATGACGTATTGAGGATGTGTTGAGTGACCATCAGATGAAGTGGTGGTGCCATTGTGTCCATACATCCATACCATAGCTTAGTGTATGTGATAACCAAACAATACTTATGCTGAAGGCTCTGAGGAAACACTTAAAGGCATCTAAAAAGTGAGTCCATTGTATCCATGGAGTGGGCAGTGAGGGCCAGTAGTGGTGATACTAATCATATGATTGTCTGTATGTCCGACAGGAGCACCACTTTTATGCAATACATGCGGATCAACAGGAAAGAGGATCAGTTGGACAACAATTGGATTAACTTCAGAAATCTCGACGATTTGGCCAATGATTTGGTTGCGGATAACGTTTACCGGAAGGGCTTTGACTTAATTAACAGCAATAATATCAATAATTACAGCCATTGTAATGAAAACTATTACCATAATTACAATAACGACAAGAAGAGAGTGAATGTCGTGAACGTCATCGACGGTAGTGTTGAGGATGAGACGAAAATCGCGCACTTGGAGGCCATTCAACTGAATCGCCAGCACTTGCATGCCTTACATCGCTTCCGCAGACATAAGAAGAGAGGTTTGTATCGATTGATTGTTGTGTCCATTGACTCACCGTATGATTGCGTTCACTGAATGGACAGGCATTTCGTGGGAAAAGGATGTAGTGATAAGCTTTTCGCCCAAAAGCCGAGCGTCGATCGTAAATAAGCGCGACTTTTACTACCGCTTCGGCAAAGAGGAAGAGGAAGCGATGGCTTGCTTTGACTTCTTGGATGATATTCGTTGTGATAGTAATGACAGCAATGATAGCAATGACGGCCAATATATGGAACAAACGACTATTGGGTCGCCCTCTGCCTCGTGGCCCAGCAGTGAGTTGAGAGGGGACTGGGAGGTCGACGGCTTATCCCTGGGCTGTAACAGTCAGTTGTCTTTAAGTGATTCTTGTGTTGAATATTACGATTCTAGTGATTAATATATGATATATATTTTTAAGTTAATCAAAACTTTACGGCATTTGTTGTTATAATTAAGAGTTTATCAATCAATTAGTTTTAAGTGTAATCTAAACTAAAATCACTCAATATTTTAATTAGCATTCATTCCAACACTAATTATTGAAACCAAATGAATATTTATTTGATTTTTATTTCAAAGCATTTTTTTATTTATAGCTTTAGTTTATCAATAGAAAACAAATCATGGATTTATTGAAAAATAAATACAAAAATCTATATTTCGATGAGAAATACAATTAATTGTTATATAAATAAAGTGTAAAAATGAGATTTTATTATCACATCAAATAAAACTTAAATTATTTATCAGTCTTTGCTTTCATTTTCATATGAGTTTCGGTTTTCTCGGATTCTCTGCCTTTTAATTCGTGAAAGTATTTCGTAAGCGCTCTGTATCTCAATGAACGTCTCTTGAGCTCTGATTTTTTGTTCGGGGTCTTTGTGTTTGTCCGGATGCCACTGACGGGACAGTCGTCTGTACTGAGCGGTTATCTCCTCCTGAGTGGCTGCAGACGTCAGGTTCAGTGTCTTGAGAGCGTTGGTCTCGCCCTGAGGGTCGAGTGCGGCCACGATTTCCCTCCACAGACCGCTCCAGCCGTGGATCCGGATGTAAGACCTGAGCTCATCGAACACTTTGGTGCACTCCTTCCAAATGGGAGACTTCAAGAAGTTCTTCGCCGCGTCCCTACACTTCACTTCCTCCTCATTCTTGTCGACAACCGAACAGTTGTAGTAAAACCAAGAACTCCATAACGAGAGGTATATTAGGGAACAGATTATTAGTACAGAGACTCGTCGGCAAAAGCCTCTCCTCTTAGAGGGAGTTCTTCGCCATTCTTTGGAGTATGTGTTGAAGAAGTAGTTCGAAGACAATGACGTCCAGAAGACAACGTTTGCACTGAAGAAGTAGAGCGGAAATGTGAGGTAAGCGCCGATCAGTGGCCACTTGAGTGACCCCTTATGGCGGCCAACGTTGCCGACTGAGTAGACGCCGAGAGCGACGGCCACCGGCGCCACGACTGCCATCAACGCAGACAACAGGACGCTGTCCTTCGGGAACCACTCGACAGGGATGGCGCTGACGGCCAGGTAGCCTAAGATGTCTGCGATGACGATAGTGGCCGACGTGCGGATGTATCCGGTGCTGGGTTTGGGCTGTCGGCGCATCTCTTCGGCGAGTTTCTCGAGATAGTGCGGGTCGTTGTTGGCGTCCCTCACGTACTCCGGGATCCTCCAGAGGTCGCGAACCCATCCGCACCCGAAGTATCCGCCGAAAGTCATCCACATTAAGAAGCAATGGGTGTCTCGATTCAGATAGAAGTGATGCAAACCAAAGGCCCCGAAGAATAGCCATAACAGGTATGTAACGAACAGACTCTTCGCCATCGCGTGACAAATGATCCGATGGTTTGATGGCAACAGAAATGTGAAAAATGAGTGATTTATTGGCGACTATTAGGTGAGAGACACGTGGACTGCGATACACTTTGCAATCAATTAGTTATTAATCTATTCAAAGGTTCATTCATTTCATTGTATGATTGCTTTCCACTGCTCTGTCAGTGCTTTTCAATGCATTTCATAATTAGTTAACAAATGTTTTCATGAGTTTTGGAAACAAATTAATAAAAACTATAGAAACGCTATAATAAGGCATACAATATGTGTGGCAATACTTGTTGTCAATCTTCTGAGCGTTTTGTAAAACAAATGTTTTTCACTTTAATTGCTTTCCCTTACAATACCGGAGAGTTTACCTGAGTTTCACAAACAGGTAATGTATGTAACAAACAGACTACATGTGAAGGGCAGTCGTGTTGGCCACCAGTGGGCGCCACTCACTGCACAACACTCGCTGAGGCACTAGTGGTGACCACAACGCGAGTCTCTAGAGCACAGCCAATGCGTGGATAGTGTGCACACATTGCGTGCGTTTGTGTCGATCACTATATTTCAGTAATTTTGGTATATTTTGTGATCAAAACATTTGACACTTTTTTCGTACAAATGTTTGGCGAATGTATAGCCAATGAGTGGACACTTGAATCGCAAGCTCTTGTGAACAGTTGTTATAATCACATGAAGTCTATGACTATAGTTATAATCACATGAAGGCTATGACTACACCACTGAATACGAGTGCATCTAATAAGACATGAAATGAAGTGAACGTTAAATTCAATGCAATTGTTATATATTTATTAAAATAGTTTATATTTATCGTGCAATCAATCAAATTGTTATGAATTTTCAGCGATTATTCCAAGACTTCAACTCGAGGTATGGTATGGTGTGATGGATGTGGTGACCGATGGTAACCAGTGTTGATAATTGCAGTAAATTCGTGGTCTACTTATGTCTTCTGGTGTTCTCGATGTTGTTTGCGTTACGTCTGGACGAGACGATTGTCATCTCGTATTGGGTGGTGTTCTGTCCGCTATGGCTGTGGAAGTGTTTGGTGATAGTGGGGGCACTCATAGGGACAGTGGTGTGGGTGCGGAACCCGGACTACCGCCAGTCGGACAGCTCTTACATCCACTTCAAGTCAATGCTGATCAGTGTTTCCCTACAGCTATTGCTTCTCATGTTTGAGCTCTTGGTTTGTGATAAACTCGAGTCCGGACGACACTTCTGGATCTTAGCCTTCATTCCTCTGGTGTTCATATCGCTGCTGTCGATTGCGGTCTGCATTTGGGCCCTCAAGAACGACAGGACCTTCGAGATGGAGCTGTTCTGCTCCGTCAATATCTTGCAGTTTATATTCATCGCCCTCCGGATGGATAAGTTCATCACGTGGTCCTGGGTACTGGTCTTGGTGCCCCTCTGGATCCTCCTGTGTCTGGCCATCATCGGTGTCCTCTACGCACTCATCTTCGCCGCTATACTTCTGCGGACACCCGAAGTGGCGGCCGAACAGCGCCGACAGAGCCTTCACTCTGCCGTCTCGTACTCACTCATTGTCTTACCACTGCTGGTCTTCTTAGTACTTCTGTCCAACAAATTAGACTCCGTTCACACGTCCAGTCCCTCGCAAATGGACTACTTTTCCACATGTATTCCCCTATACTTCACGTTCGCTATACTCCTGTGTCTTTCATTTGGCAATAAAGGCGGCAATTTATGTGAGTTTTAGCGCATGTTATCCCATATAATGAGATAATTCGTGACATTTGTTTGTATCGATTAAAGGGTGGTTCGGAATGAGGAAAGACTTTTGTTCATTCCTCCTGTCGATGTGTCCCTGTCTTCGAGTCTATGGCAATATATCCTATAATTTACACTTCAATCACAGCCTCTCATCGACGCCTCACCCCAACGATGGCTCTCAGGACGTGTCAAACATCACTCATTCAAAGCATGTCATCACTCGACAGCCAAAGAAGTTTATTATACCTCACGTTAGCATAGAGTCACCCGATTGATCACAACCACTACCATAGCCCACACCAACTCTAGTATCATAATAGACCACTCATTCACTCATTCATTGATGTCCGACACGAATATCAAACAACAAAATGAAATGAAATTAAGATATTTTGTAAAATAGTATATATTATATGAAATGAATTTACATTATTATTACATGAATTGAAAGAATTTTATAAATAATTACATTTTGATTTCCCATTTGTTTAAATCTGTTTTCATGAATCAAATCTAATAAAATTGATTACCAGTAAAATGTTTGACAACTAACTCAAGAATCCTTTATTTAAATTATTATTAAAATTATTCTTACGTTCATTGCAACTGATAATAATTATATCAATCAGTATGTATTTGGCATTAATATTGACATTAACTGTAAAGTCATAAAAAAAGATAATTTTTAGTTTAGTCGACAAGAATTGAGAGATTCTGTGCTATAACTAGTAATACCGTAGTATTGAAGGCAATGATAAGCTTATGGTAGTAGTGAATGACTACGGGATGGCATGACTGGGGTTCAGGCTTTGCGTTTCATGAAGGCTTCACTCAATGCTCAGAGTCTGAGCCTCAGACTGGAGTGAGAGTCGAGTCGACACTCAAACACACAAACAATACATACAATGAAACCATTGATACTCAGAATACAGCAAAACATGTTTGCCTTTAATGCCAGCAATTAGTGAGCAATGAATCGGTCATTGATTTGATCACTGAATGAGTCATTTGTGTCCAATTGATTGCTGAAACGATGGCCTCACCCATGGATAACACCAGTGATGGCGAGGATGTGGTCATCGGATCCAATGAAGACAAGCACAGAGCGGAAGACGCGGACAATAAGGACAACACATGCAAAGTGTGCACCGATGAGGACATTACCACTCAGTTCTTCGCTTCGGGACCTTTCTATACGATTGACTCATCGGATGAGACAATAGGTCTTCGCAGTGATAGTGACAGCGATGTGAGGCATAGAAGAGAGCGTTCAGACAAATGCAGCGTTTTATACGCGGAAATGCCACACGATTTGGGTCGCAATCACATCCCTGTCCACAACGCGTGCACTGAGAGCACCGATCGCCACACCAATGGGTCGACACAATCGGGAGGCGATGGTCAGCCTCTTGTGGGCGAACCTAACTATCACTGCGTTTGCTATAACTGTTGTTCGCCATTAAGTGTCGATGAATTGGATCACAACCTCTACTATATATCCAACGATAAGTCAAAGACACCGACCGATGGACACACTGACGGCCGCAATGACGACAACTCCCGTGAATCGTCGCCCATAATGTGGACGATTTGTTCCCAAAATGGTCGACACAATGGAGCGGACAATGGCTGTTCACCGGTGAATGGCCACCAATTGGTGTCCAACTATACGACTGTCATTAAACCGAAAGCACTTCGACCACAACTGCCAGTGACCGGCCACTCACAGAGTCATACAAATGGGTTACCACTGACACGACCAACGCTTCCGATGCTCTCATTTCACGGCTCCACTCATGTGTTGACAGATAAGGATGAGTCGGCTTTCACTCAAATATCTCGCAGGAGATCCAACTCTGAAGCCACACATCATTATCAGTCGATTAGCAATGATCGACAGATTCCTTCCAGAAGTGGTGTCGACTACAACCGTCCTCTTCGGCACCAAAGAAGTAAATCCGTGAATAAAGCGTTCAATAATAATATGGATATGAGTTTGGGTTTCAGTAAATGTCAGGCAATAAGTGATAAACATTTACCTCAACATCAATCCAAGAATACGAATCCGTTTTACTTAAACCAAAACTATAGTCAAAACAGTAATAATTCTGATGAAAGTCTGGATCCACACGAGACGTGCTCTTCGATGTACTCTTCGGAACCGATTCACATGACTCTCGAAGAAGTGAGAAATATATTCTCGAAAAGTCAGAGCAAACCACTGAAGAACCCGTTTCTCGTCACCAAACATAAGAGGACCACAAATGCAATGGAAGACAAAATGGGTTTTAATAAATCAAAGTCAAAGTCAAAGATCAAGTGTGCGATTGAGAGCCTCTTCAGAAGTAAACGCAAATCCTGTTCTTCCATCACTTCCACAGACGACAACTCTATTGAATCAGAATTTACAGACAAAAATGGTTCTCAAGAGTCCGGTGAAGGCTTTGCAAACAACTGTTCCAACGACAGCCCATTCACACACAGAGCTCTGCCACCACTTCCCCCTCCGATCAACACAAACAACACCAATGAGTCGATCGATGTGTTGAGCCGTGAAGACGAGGAGCGCCAGAAGTTTCTGGACTACGCGGCCAGCATTGAACGCGTCAAAGATGTCGGTTTTTATGGCGTCATTTGATTGCATCTAATGATTAACTAATGATTGTATTGATTGTAATGACAGTGCGGTTGGTATTGGGGGCCAATCAGTGGAGAAATGGCTGAGAAGCTGTTGCAGTCGGAGCCGTGCGGTTCATTCATCGTGAGGGACAGCTCTGACGAGCACTACATCTTCAGCTTAACCTTTAAGTTGAATGGTTTAGTACGACACGTGCGCATCGAACATGACCAGGGTTTGCCTCGCATACCATTCCCCTCATTGATACCATCATTCACTGCGATTGTCTCGATCTGTAGGAAACTTCAGTTTCGGTTCCCTCCAGAAGTTCAAAAGCAATACAATCGTCGACTTCATAGAGAACGCTGTCCAGCACTCGAGGAGCGGACGGTTCCTGTTTTTCCTGCACCGGCGCCCAGTGATGGGTCCGATGCGCGTCCAACTCCTACACCCCGTCTCGCGCTTCAAACAAATACAATCACTTCAACACATGTGTCGGTCAGTCATAAGTCTATAGGATTTTCTATAGAAACAAGCATTTAATGATAAATTACTTGTATTGTGGCAAAGGTTCGTAATACTGAAGCACGTGCGCCGGGATCTCATCGATGACCTACCGCTGCCTAAAATGCTTAAATGCTACTTAAATACCCCGTATTATTATTCAGAAGAGTTAGCGCTAATGAGTGAACAGCAATCAAACACAAACCCAAACCCAGAACACGAGCCAACTTTGCCTCCAAATACTAGTCAATCGGAAACTTAAATATTTACAAAAATATTCATTTTATTTAATTATAAAAATAAAATATAAATATATATTTAAATTGTCATTTAATGTGTTGTCATTCACTATCACTCCATCGGTCAGTATAATACCTATTAAGAGGTTTGCTCTCGTTGTGGACATCCATTTTGGGAGTCCACACACAAAGTCGTTGATTACCTCCGCTGTAGAGTACGAGTGATCCCCTGTCGAGTCCGGTCACACAGTTGGGTCCCGCGGTGTTGAACGTCCCCTCCCGTGATGTGCACAGACTGTGGACTCTCATACCAGTAGTCAAACTATAGCCCATTATGTCATTTCTCATCACTTTTTGTTCACTGGGAGTGAAGACATAGTCATCGGTGGCGAACACTTGGCATCTGAGATAAGAGCTGGTGTTGGGGTTATGTTTGGATGATTTGCTTCGCACTAAAGGGCACTCAAAGTTGATGTCAGAGCGGATCAGATCAGAGCGCATGAAATGCCATGAATTGAGTTTATTGGAGCGACCCTTCGCCGTCAACACTGACATCTGGTCTCTCGTGAACTGCAGACATGTGATCGGCTCCAGAGACATGTCATCACTTCCAACCACTCGAACCGATCTATTCAGACGCCTTATATCATAGATGTGTAGATAAC